AGAATTTTCTTATTTTTGCACGACATAGTCGGACCTTAGTTCTGTTCTCCATGCAAAAAACTTGTACAAGCTGGTACCAATTGTTACCAAATCGCGTTCGTTAGGGCAAAAAACTTTTAAAACTTGCAAGGAGAGAGCACAATTTTGACATTTCATTTGGAGGGGAAGTTGCGAATTTATGCTGGGAAAATTTTTAATTTGAATCACTAAGTTCGTTAAATTTAAAAAAGAACAATCTATTTGTTTATTCAATTAATTTATTTAATTCCAAACATTTCAAAGGTACTCGGCTGAAAAAGCTGTATTCGTAATCGGAACGTAGTTGACACCACTGTCGATATAGGAAATCCGGCAGTGACTTCCACAAAGAAATTGAAGCGTATGTCGAAGAAAATCAGAATCAGAAGAAATATACGTATAGGTCCTGTAATGCAACCGTGGACGCCAGCTGGCAGTGAAGCTTGCAAATGTTTGCTAATTTTTGTTGGCGCATAACTTAGTAAGTTTCTCTCTTTGGGAGAGTAAGATACCTTATTGTCAAAATTTTGTTACTGGCTAATTCTCACTGGCATTTGCATATCGAACAGAACTATTGCTATCTATTTGTATACACCAAGGCACATTGAACAGGTAGTATCAGCATAGCAGCTGATTTGATTTTTTTCCCATTATTTGGTCTCGAAAATGTCAAATATTTTTAATTCTCACAAAAATTCTAAATTGCTAAAGTCTATTTGCAAGTGAAACCTTTTTCCAAGGCGAATTTATACAAGGTGGTGTTATCGGATCCGCTGATTTCACTGCGAATTTGTACCTTTTGTCAACATGGTGTGTTTGTTGTAATTTTGCTTTGTACTGATTGTCAATGTGCGTATAATTTGTTGTTGTAATTTTTGTTTTTGTTCTGTCAACACCACCTTGTATAAATTCGCCTTGCCTTTTTCCATACAAAACATGCGATTGAATAGCAGCTTTTGGAACGCTCGCCCAACTCGGCAACACAACCGCTGATTACTGAGTCTTGCAAAGGATAGATCAAAGCTTCGAGAAGCAAACAAATTTACTAACCCCCTTATTCTAGAACCCGAATTTTCGTAATTCGTAATTCGTAGCTACGCTACGAAAAATCCATATGCTGCAATCCTTGCGGAAACGTGCAGCATTGCCAGCTATCAGTGGTTTTTATTGCATTGGATTAAGAACCAGTTCTTTAGGCATAGGAGGAGTTCTGGCTTGTGGTTCAATAATTCAACCAGAAGCTGACATAGATGCGCCCATGGTTACTATGCCCGACAGCTCCGCCATCCATTGCCATAGCGCCCTCTTACTCTGCTGCTATAACTGCAAATGCATCAGAATCCATCATTTTCTTCAAAATATGTAAAATTAACCAATTTTACAACAGACAAGCACATGAGTGTTTTTTTAATTCCTTTCCACTTTGTTTCCCTTCATTCAGCTATCTTCGAAAAACAACTGATAGCTGGCAATGCTGCACATGTTTCCCCAAGGGTTGCAGCATGTGGATTTTTCGTTTTTCGTAGCGTAGCCGAAAAATGCGTTTTTGGACATTTTTGAGCCACCAATAAAATAAATTGATGCAATATATCCAGGGTTGGCAATGTTTAAAACATTTGTGCAAAACAAGTCTTGTTAAAAACAATGGAAAAATCACCTATATTTAAAATATGTTTTAGAACATTTTGATTTAAACTCGTTTAAAACATACTTATAAACAAGTAATTTTTAGCAAAAAAAAGCCGACTTAAAAAAATATATATGTATATCTAATTATTTCATGATGCAATGATCGGATCTAA